TCTGAGTATGATCAGTGATTGAAAACAGTTGCTATCATATATAGAGAGCGCTGGCAATCCTCCATTCGTTAGGGTCATGAACCTGACCTATCATGTAAAGGAGAAAAGCAGTATTAGAACAAAATCCAGTTCAACTTATTATACAGCAGAGGTCAAGAGGGTTCGCCGAAAAAGTTTCTCGTGCGCTATTTTCACTCCCTTGTAGAATTTGCGTGAAATAGTGATATGCTATGTATTTTGGTATTTTCTAATTCTCGAGACTTGAAGGCCCAAGATATTGAAAAGAAAAAATTGCAGTCAATCGTAAAGCTATTTTTGAAAGAAAAAATGGTACTGCGCGAAAAGCCATTTCGGCGAACACTTCTGACCGCTACTGTACGTCCATAGCGAAATGTATGCTTGTCTCCAAAAGCGCTGATTTGCCATTTCGGCCATAAATAGATTGAATGACTTGATTATTAGTGATGAAGCAGGACATTGAGAGCATTCCAGCTAGCGATTGGGTGTGGAATGAGAAGCGACATGTCCTCGGAGGGGGGGGGGGGGCAGTCCGTAATTCACAGAAGCGCTGTTTTAGGACTGATCTTTAAAACAGGAGAAGGAATAAAAGGTGCATAAGCAATTCTGATTGTTTCCAAGATCCGTCCCTCTCCGTTACGTTCAGTCCTAGTATCCTTCCTACAGACTGCCCATCCCACACATTTTACTTTGATAATTTACGACAACAGGGCTTCTACTTAACGTGTTTTTTTTTCGGTATCTCTTAACCGCCGATGCAATTACTTTTGTTTATGGATTTTTTTTCTGAAATCCAATCAATAATGTAATGTAAAATGGCAAATCGAGTGGATTTTTGGGGGGCGACTGAAGCAGCGAAAATCATCGAATTACGAGAATTAATGAATATTGGAAAAATGAAGATGTACCACACTTTTCTTCAGTGCTAGTATACGAGACCATATTTCTTGTGAATTATATGGTGATATCAATTAACATCCGTGCGCGCGTTCCGTGGACGACTTATGACCTTTCAGTCGGGGCACGATTGACTAACATATGTAGTGACTGGACTTTTTTGAACCCTTCGAACCATCAATCAGTACAAGAGAAATGTACTGAGAAATCTTATCCGCAGAACCACCTCTTAGCCACCCTCCCTGATGTCTTTAACACTTCTTTAAGATTTAGGATTTTCCTAGCATTTCTGTACAGTATAAGTGGACCCAGTTCAGCTAATTACATTCGAATTTTTGTCCTGCCTTTGATAAGGGATGCGTTTGCTTGGAGATACGCTAGACGAGCTGTTACGGTGCATGGGTCACAGTTCCACTTTGAAACTATAAACGCGCCTTCCCGACTCTGGTGTGAACCCGTTGACCCAAATAGGGCTACAAGATGCATAGTATATATGTAGTCGAGAGGAGAACCAGTTTCTTCACGGTAAAAAGCGTCCATGGTTGGTATGAGCGGATGTAAATAGAAGCAGGCTGACCGGAATAGGCGAAGAGTTAGCGGTATCCGGATGCGCGGAACGCGTTCCTGGGTTCCCGGCCGGGTGCTTTTCATTTACTACAATGACGATAACGTTGTCATCAGTGACCGTGTGGGTGATGATGAGGCGCTCGATGGGTAGCACCGGACGACGGCCGACGCTGCACCAATGTTCGGGTGGCGCTGGCGCTCGACCGCACACAGTCTCCCGTTGCACTCTCTCTAGACACTTTGCCTTCTTATTTCTCACTGCAAATCGAACTTCTTGTCCAATCTTCGTCTCACCTTAGCCCAACGTGAATGACTGTTATTGATCTTGATTAAGACGTCCCATTACTCGTTTGCGGTGATTTCGCTCGTTCACACGCACGTTCCTTGTTTTCTTCTATGAACTTTTTGCCCTATTCCTTTAGGAATCTTGTTAGCTGAATCCTTTTACAAATGTTTTGCCAGGCTAATTATTTGGAACGCTGAGGTCGAAGACAGATGCTCGGAAGACCCTAATAATACCCCTTATTTGATCTTCATTGTTCACCAATCCCTCAGGTTTTCACCGAGCTCTTACTATTGGCCGGAAGTTGTATAGGTCTTCAAAAACTAAATTCGAAGACTGGTTACAAAATCTCCAGGAATTTGACCTGGTGGAGATGTGTGGAGACCTATTTTGGTATTCAGAGGGCCGTTCAGGAAAAATTAACCATGGTTCTGTGGTTCCCGCATGTGCCCCTATATCATGCAAAAGACCGTTTTCAAAAAGCTTGGCACGCCCTGAAAGACCTTCCTGGTAAGACTACATGAACTCCCTTTCGGAGGGCGAGTATGTATTACTAATTACTGCTGTCCTCCCAGCTCCAGCTCATGCGATAGAGTGGGCTACAATAAATTCTAATATAAATTTACAGCTTTGATTCCTTCAATTGATCAGATATAGGAGACGACACTGGATTCCGTTTGACAGCTATGTACATTCCATACATACCAAACTTCAAAAAATATCAAACATAAATAGATAAAGAGACAGGAAAAAGAGTAGGAAGAGAAATGAGCGGGTAAGTAGGTAAATAAATTTTAATTAATTGAATAATTAATTAATCAATAAGAAAGTACAGCTTATGTGTATCTTGTGCAGAAGCGGACATTGGGTGGTAGTCTCATTTATGCCTCATGGTAATCACGAGCAATAAAAAATAAAAAATATTACTAGTAATAGTAATCTTATTTGTGTTAGTTTCTTGTGCCGTACGAGGTTTATAGGTGGAACATTTATTAGTTCGGCCTAACGTTTCGACAAAATCGTCGTCTTCTGAGGCCCAGGGTTCCACCGTTCGCGCGGGAATCCCGCTACCACATATAGACGCTACTCAGTAAAAAATTATAATAATATAGTAATAATAATGATAATATAGTAATAATAATAATAGTAATAATTATAATAATAACAATACAAATAACGATAAATATTAAGCCCAATGTCGTCGAGATTCTGTAGGGAAAGAAGCTGGACTTCGAGTACTACTAGTAGTAGTAATAGTACTTAGCTTCACGAGAATGCTGGGTTGTGAACAAAACTTTCGCCCCAGGCGGGACTAGAACCCGCACCTCTCGCTTACCGAGCAACTGCGCTAGAAGTTATGCTCTTTGACCGTTCCCCTTCATTCAGCCTTCCATGGTAGTACCGATGGTGGAATAACTGATATTATTATATTATTATGATGGTAGTATTATTTCGTAATATTCAGTAGAATTTAAGAAATTTGACAATTTTGAATAAGTTTGAGCTTTGGCGCTTTTCCAACTGAAAGTTTGGATTTCCGGTGAAGTCCGAGTCTAGGATATTTACTTTTCTAAGGGATCACATGTATGGTCGTAAATTTCTCTACTGGTTACCTATAGTAGTATCACCGCATAAGATCCCGCAGTGCGATAAGGTGTTCTGAGATATATCGATTCATCTTGCCGAACCCTTTCGGTACCTATACGTTACTCGTACCACCTTCTGACCACTAATCTTTTTTAAATCGAGTGTTACAATATTTGCTTTCTCCATCTTCTGTTATTATTATGAATTTTGTGAACTTGTTGTACAACACGTTTTTTTTTCACGAGATTCCATTTATGACACGCAATCCTGGCCAAACTAGCTATTCAATGCTAGAAGCTTACTATCTCAATAGATCAAGGATATGTGGCGCTAAAGAGCCAAGATTTTTGATGATTGGAGGATTAGCTAAGTGAACAGAACAACAAATGTGTGCAGTCGTTCCATCACAACTTTGCCGTGCTGTTCGGCCGGAACTGTAACCGTGCCATTCCTATATTGTCATCCCTGACATCTTTGTAAACTTTAATTTACTACATTTTCATTATAGTTTTACATAATTTATACCACTACACTACGTATATTTATCGTATATACAGTCATCATGCAATTCGGCTATTAAATTCCTGAAAAATGCGCAGCTTCATGGCGCAGTTCTGAAGCTCTGCTGAACAAATATCATTTTTGGAACGCTTTTGTTTTCTTTCCTTGTGCCACCAGAAAGAAGTGTTGTTGGGGTGAAAGAAGTGCTCTTACATTGGTCGGCTAAATTTGTTTTTGAATCCTCAGAGTTTATCCTTCTGCCGTTCCTTCCGTTATCATCTATTTCTACTCGCATCTTTCCTTCACAGCGGTCTGAACTCTGGCCCAGTTTTTTGTGAAAACTGTGAATCCGTCACAAAAAGATTTTCCTCTCAAAAAGAAATAATAATATTATTATTAATCGTCTTGCTCATCCAATGCTACGAGTAGGCTTTTTTAACCTCTAGATTACTCCCATTGATGTATTGGCTTCGGCGATCTGCTTGGGTTTTCCGTGTTCTCTCTCTAGTAAATACAACATCTCCAAATGCATTCATTCGATTCGTTTCCGTTTTTGAGATTTCTTTTGTGGAGGCCGATCACTCTTGAAAGATCCCTCCCTATTCGATTATTATGTATTATAAATATCGGGTTCTCTAAATGTCCATATAGTAGGTATTGGTCTTCTATAAAGATATTTATTTCCTGAGCATGCTCATTTCTGTGGTGTTACTATTTTACCATATGACAAATTACCTAGTACCTCCATCATGAGTTGCTTTTAGCATATCTATTTCCGCACTCGTCAAAAGGGACGCAGTTCTGGCAGAAATGGTCCTGTTGTTATTCATTCACCATCAAAGCATTGCCACAATTTTGAGTGAACACAAGGGCACGGCGCAACGTGTACTATTCTGAAACATGCTAGCAACTCGATGTGATCTTTCTTATCATGAAAGTGTGAACTCCTTATAATCAGAATTGCTCATAGTTGGTCTTCCCTTCTACAAGCTCCTCATAGATTGGCTATAACAAGCGTCGAGTTTCCCTTTCTTCAGTCTACTGTTTCCGAATTTTTGTTGTTGTTCTTAACACCAGAACGCTCCCACCATCCTACTGTTTCAGACGATCCGTAATTGAATTGTTTCCCGAATAAACAATTTCTACGATGGGATCGAAGGATCCCCCGTTGAGCGAGAATCTTCTGAACCTCACGTGAGTTCACAACAGTACACCCTGTTTCATCTTTTCATGCTCGTTGACTTGTTTAGTTTAATATCGTAATCAAGATAATAATAAATAGATCAGTTTGATTCAACTTGTTTCTATTATAAACGTAATAACTTCATTGCATCTGTTTATTTGTGCATGGCGATCGGTCTTCCTTCGCACGAATAGATTTCTGGCAAGTACAACCGTGACTCAATGATTAACTGAAGAGAGAAAGTGCAACAGGAATGGAAGAATTCACTGGCACTGCTTATTTTCTGAGCAGAACATCTTATAAGTTCCAATTAATGGCACGCTCTGCGATCAGGCGGGTTCGCCGGTTCCATCGAGGGGGTAATAGGCAGGTGGACAACTGTTGATGTCGGGCCCAGGGTCAAGCGAGGCGGAGGTAAGCAAACCAGCCCTTTTGGCGTTTCGGCTGGGACCGTATGCTGAATGTTGGGGAGGGGATGGGGTCCCCAACGGTCGACGGTTTACTTCAACTCGGTTGGTACGATAGGAGAGTACTGACGCAAGTGGTGCAGCTGGTCCAGCAGCTCCGCCAGAAGGCTGGTTTGCTCACCCCAGGACTAAGCCTTGGAGAGGGGACGGACCCGTCCTCTCTTTAAGGCTTAGTTCTGAGGTGAGCACCAAATTGTGGCGGTTCTAAGGACCGAGTTGAAGTGGTCCGTCCACCGTCGGGGACTCCATCCCCTCCCCAACATTCAGCATACGGTCCCAGCCGAAGCGCCAAAAGGCCGGTTTGCCCAGGGTCAAGCGAGGCGTCGAGGAAAATTCGGAAATACGACCCCCCCCCCCCCCTCTGCCGAAGGCCGAAGTCCATGAAACAACCCTCTTTAAAAGCCGAACTATGAAAAAGTTGTTTAATTCTCCACCAAAACTGCTCATAAAAAAGCCCTGCTACCCCATCGTCCACAAAAAAACTCGTTTAAAAAGTATAAAAGTGAAAAAGTCAAAGAATGATCATTAATGACGAGTCCTGTCAAACGAGCAAACGAGAAACGGAGCAAAAAACGTCAAACTAGTCACTAGAAATGGCGTACTATGACAACACCTCTTCTTTGTTTATTTCCTCCACAAGACTTACCAAATTCTAGTACTACACAGATTATGGTTCTCAATTTACACGTCCCCCTTTCGCTCAAAGGAAGCCTTGTAAAAGCCTTCGCCAGCTGTGTGTTGACTGGACTTTGGCGTTGACCGTGGAGCAGCTTATTTACTATTGAAATTTGAACAAATATTCAAATGATTATAACTTTCTTCAAAGTTAACGAATTTTCAATCTGAAAGCTGATTTGGGAGTTTTGTGAAGAGCTTTTTCTAATCAGTACTGAAATTACAGGAAGTTATAAGAAATAACAAATTTAGATCAAATAACGAGGAAAATTCGAGACGAGCACGAGTTTTTACACTTTCCGGAGCAATAACTTGCTTCATTTCCGTCAAATTCAAAAAGTTGATACGTCATACAAAACTAGAAGATTTTCTCTATCAAACGGTCGCTAAAGCAGCTTCATACGTCCAGTACTCAAAAAATGGCCACGTTGAGGATTTTTGCAAAATTAACGAGGAAAATTCGTGATGAGTGCGAGTTTTTACGCTTTCCAAAGCCATAACTCCGTTCAAACTCATGCAATCTGGAAAGTTAATACGTCATCATAAACTAGAAGATTTGCTCTTTCTACAGGCAACTAAAACTGCTAAATACGTTCACTATTTAAAAAATGGCCACGTTGAGGATTTTTGCCCGAGTACCGCCGAAAGGTACTTTTTCGCTACATTAGCACTATCCCAACGACTATAGCTCCTTGCAGGAGCGATTACATACTGAAGTAGGAGCAGATTCAAAATCCTCGTGCTTTTCTCTCTGCAAAAAGTGTAAAATTGTTTAGCGGGTCTCAACTTTAAAGGTTACATGCTTGTGAATTTGACGCTGAAGGCTGCGTTTCTTGTTGAATAGTGTACTCCTCTCTGTAATTTAACATGAACTCTTTCAGAACCCTCTTGATTCTTCCTGAATTAAGATTCGTTATCAAGATAGCCGTAGCTGAAGCGCGCGCAACCAACTGGGCCCACTCTGGGATGCGCCGTGTGCTTCACATCTCGTTGGATTTGAGGACCTACTTGAAAGATAAAATATCCCTAGAAAACGTGCGAATTTCGGATCCTTTGACTTGTGTGGTGATGAAACACTAAAGTCACTAAGAATTGCTAAGCGGACACCTCTAAATCACGAAGATTTTGTGTGGACGGAATCAATTGTTATTGGAAATACTCTGGCCTGGTATCGATTCGATCCTTAATGTTTGTCCTCCGACGATGATCCTACTGTATCAATCGGGCCCGATCTCTCCCCAGCGGGCCAATACGACCCCCCCCTCTGTGACATGTCGAGGATTCCTCAACGCACGCTTGACCCTGGTCGGGCCCCTTTTGCGCTTGAAAGTGCGCGACAAAGGCGCAAGGAGCTCGTCCAACCCGCAACTCACACCTTCGTCCGCAAGCCCCACCCTCCGCTGTCGGTTGCCACGTGGCGCTGAAAAGCGCGGGCGCATTTGAGGCAGCGGTCCCATTGCGACCCAATGTCATTGGCACTGGAGCAACTAGAGTTAGGTTCGTGAAACTCGTCCAACGCGCCTCTTCTCTATCCCAAGGTGGAATGTGGCTGAAATAGGGGAGGTCTCTGTACGGGGCGTAATCGGTGGTTTCGTTTGCTTTCCTTCTCTTTTACAGACCACCTCCCACCTCTAGCTTCATAACTGAACGCTTTTCCACACCTATTTTTTCCGAATCTTGCCTTTAAAAGGGGAAGGGTTAGAGCAGTAGACATCGGTCAATCTTTTCTTCGTATGGATATTCCAAATACTTTCTTAGAGAACCTTAATGACTTTGGCTGGGATTTGACCCCGGACAATGACTTGACCAAATTCGTGCGCTTAATTCTGGAGGTTAGTTCAAACAGATTTATTTTCACGGTTGCCGACATTGTTCCTCTGTTGTAAAGGCTGAAGCGACGCAGGCGAGTAGGAGCAGTGTAGGCAGAATGGGAACGGTATGGGATCTAGTAGCTCTCTTCGATAGCTGCCTTTGTATCGGAGGTGTAGTTCTGAATGGCAAATAATCTCCCTTTCCGGTAAGCACATCAAGAGTGCACCTGGCCAAATCATCGCACCCATAGCCTTTGAGAATGCTTGGGAATTGTCACAACGAATCCATTTAGCACCGGATACTTTGTCTTAATTATCATATGTTAGTCTTTATAAGTGCAAGCATTCTCTTACTTTATTGAGTCGAAATATTTTTTCAGGGACGTAAGTGAAACCTCTGTGCTGGACGTCATCGAGGAGCGTTTCAATAACAAACGAATTTATGTGAGTAAATATTATTGAGCACTACTCGGCTGTGATGCGATACTCTTAATTCATGGCCTTTTATGATTTTTAATTTAGTCTCATAGCCTTAGTTGTATATTTACCATCTTGCTACCGATAGTGTTGTCGCATGCCTAGAAAGCACACCCCTGGAAATGAAAGCATTGGTGAAAAGTAGGCCTGCAGTGAAAAAAAAACAAACAAAAAGAATCTACAGGAAAAAACTAAGGTTAAGGGCTTGCTCGCTTGTAGGCTGAGCCAAGAGAGAGTAAGCACGGATGAGAGACGATAGGCGAGAGTTCACAACAGATAAGAGAACGCAGACACCAACATGTGGCGGACGAGAAAAAAGGAAGCGATCGAGGTGGCCTTTGCAGGGCCCTAGCGCCCTTGTTGCGCACTCTAGAGCTGGGAGAACGGAACGCCACCTTCGTGGAGTTGTATCCTACCTATCAAAAAGATTCGTCCACACACTGCGTGTGCCTTCAAGGAGTCAATTGCATAGAACAAGTAACCCGCTCTAGTCGGCAGTTGGGTTTGACATTCCAAATCAGGGAAAGAACGATAAGGAGCATCCCGTTCGGTCTTGCCTGCCAATAGAATTACCAGACGAAACGTAGCTCTAGAGCATATCAGAGGCATGGATGCTGCAGAAACGAGGACGAGGTCCTTATCGTATGGCTAGAAGTGGTAAAGGAACATGTAGCATCGCTTACCACGCACAGATTCTGGAGATCAAATTTGCCGTAACACTGGTCCAGTTCAACCAATCCTTTGGGGTTTGCTTGATACCAGACTTGTCTGAGAGGACAGCAGCACCGACTTGTACATCAGGAGGCCTCCGCAAGTCATTGCACAGGTCGAGCCTTCAAATGCTGGCGCATTTCGCAAAAGGATTAACAAAAGCTTGGTATTTCTCGTTTATCTCTCAGGACTACTGTTAGCTGATTGAAATCGTTTATAATTAGAATTGAAAGTCTCTCATTTTGCAGACGAATGTAGGGGGCGTACTGCTGGCAGTGAATCCGCTCGAGAAGTACAGAATATACGATGAGTCAGTCATGATGCAATACCAGCACTTCAACAAATTCGCGTGAGTTTGAAATAATTGATCAACAATGAACTGTTTTGATTACTGTAACTGCTATATAAAAGTATATGGGTTGTAGATCAAGTTTTTACGCAGAGGATCCTTTTATGAACTCAGGGTTCATGACCATTCCAATGACTGTTTATACATACGGCAATGGTCAATAACTAGTTTGCGAAAAACCGAATCTTTTCTGGAAATAAATGTTACAATTGCTTGTCAGTGGAAGCTATAGTTGTAGGTAGATGAAATATGAAGTTGTAAGTAGTTGTGACCAGACGATAATGGGATTACTTCATGCTCTGGAGCTCGTTCTTCCTACTTACTATTACCGTAATTGCACCGAAATGTCCCCATACTCTTTGATTGTATAAGCGCCATTCGAACGAGTAAACTGTTCAGTCAGAGAGAGTTATAGAGAAGAAATTTATTACCATTCAGGCACATCTTCACTCCAGCCAGATGTGCAGTTGAAAACATCCAAAGTGGATCAAGCGCAGAGAATATAATCTTCAGGCAAGTCTGGCATTGAGCACTAAACTTCAGAGCAACTACAGGGTATTAAAAAGTCAACCAGGTTATTGTAAAATGTGCTTCCGAAAACTTTCATCCAAACAGTAAGGTTTCGCTTTTTGTGAAGGTGGAAAAGCCAAAAAAGGTACAAGTGGGGGCAGTTAGTTTATGCCTACTAGTTATCCACCGTTGCTGATCAAATGTGAATCCCCAGACAACACTGCTACTGTACCTACGAGAGACTAACCAAAAAGCGCTATCTGAAGTAAAGGGTTTTTACAGAGCTGGTATTTTTGACCTGCTCTTTCTAACCATGTCGAAAATAATAAATACTAAACTTTTCAGTGGAGAGTCGAACTCTGGGAAATCATTCAATGCTTTTCAAGTGATGAAATATCTAGCTACTTCTAACAACAGTAAAATCACCCCGAAACATGTAAGTCCTCATAGCAGTACTAAATGTAAATCCAGCTTTTTAGCCTCTGTTTTTTTTATCTTGCTTAACTATATTTTTGCAATGTTTTCCAGATAGAAGCCATCAACACGATCTTCAACAGTTTCGGATGTGCAAAAACCGTAAAAAATGATCATGCCACTCGTTTCGGTTACTGCATGGATTTCCTATACCATAAGTGAGTGAAGTCCAACTTTCGAATGGATCAGGATAACTACGGTAGTTGGGGAAGAAAGGGCGGTTGCCGCCGCGACACGCGGCATTTTCGGGACCTTCACAGCAAAACGAAGACCCCATTTGTCAGGTGGAATGAAGCCAGTCCAAGGAGAGGGGGGGAAGTGAGATGAGTTAGAGTGGCTTGCGTGAAAGGCTAAAAAGTGCGAGTTTACACTAACTCGCTGAGAAGCCGCAGACATGCCACACGCAGCGGCGGCGACTGTTCCCCACCCCAACAACTTTGTCAGGATTGAGCAGATTCAGCAACTGTATCTCTGAGGCTCCACCCACAGCTTGCGACTTACGCGATTTGGCTCTTATGCTGAAAGCAAATCATACCTAACGATTTGAAAAACGGCGATTAAGCGATTATGTGATTTGGCGATTTGAAAATAATAATTTTGAAAGAATAATTGTGCATCGGTTTGAATGACTTCGCCCAATCGGCCTCGCCAATGTGGTGTGTAGACGATCTTTCTAGTTGGTACTCAAACATTCCTTTTAGCGTGGTCGCCAAATAGCATGAACGCTCAAATCGTGAACTGTGAACGCCCCGTTCATAGTTTGATCGTTTGAAAAGCAATGTTCGCCAGAACCATCTCAACCAACCTCACCATTGCTTGGTCAATCCTGGGTAGTTCAGTACGCATAGCACCCTTGAATGGTACGACTAATCACTGATATGAAGAACTGAAACAAAATGAACGACCTTCTAAAGGCGTTGCGTAGCCTTTAGAAGTTCCATCAGGAAGCTCCAAGGTTTTTGATGGCATTCAGTACACGGCGCGTTCCAAAGCTGGTCATCGATTGTGGCTGGCCCTTCGATTCAAGAACTAACTAGGATATATTAAGGAACACCCTATCAGGACTGAGCCTACGTACGACGCTACCACTAGAAGCAATCCGTGTGGTGTCACAGAAGGCCGGCGAACGTAATTTCAACGTTTTCTACGAACTGTGCGCTGGGATGTCATCTGAAACGAAAGCCAGCTACGGTATCCGTGACCAGCAAAAGTTCTTCTATCTGACACAGGTAAGTTTAATACCAGTAAGTATCTGGAAAGACCAGATACAATATCGCCAACAATTTATTACCGTTGACGAGTGAGCGTTCGTTGTATATGTACGTGAAACGAGTTCACTGGGTTTACAGGGCAAGGTCGGCGAGGATGGAGGACGAGACGACACGGCGAACTTTGCCCGGCTCCACGCATCACTGGAAATTGTCGGATTCTCCGAGGAACAAAGACAGATCATCTATAAAACGTTGGCAACAATACTTCACCTTGGAAATATGTACTTCAGGCAGCGCCGGGTGAGACTTTCGTTTGGTTGAGTACACATGAGTTCATGGTGGGCGCAAAACCGTAAACGATGCTATCTGTAAATAAGTGCTGAAAATTTGATCTAAAGCCAACGCTTTCCGCATCGCTACAATCCCAGTAGATAGGCTCATGTCTAGAATAAGGGCTGGGTTCGTTTGATTACACCATTATACTTAGAAATGACTATCACAAGCATTCGGAGCAATGGGAAAAACACTCGCCCTACCTGAAGAATAGACCCACACTGCCTTGCTTGCCAGGAAAAAAATGAACCAAAAGAAGTCAAGCGATAAGGAAGAAGTTTTGTGCATTAACAAGAGAGAACCCAATTTCAAGAGAAGCGCTCTCAAAACGTTGTGGTTTTGTGCATTACCAATTCCGAACCAAACTTAAAGCCGGAGTTTACAATGAAAGGGCCCACTGTAATTTAAGGTGGAGGTGGTCAATGGTTCGGATATGACGAAGAAGCCATGAGAAATGGCAAAAACTTGAGAAATGGGACCCTTCTTCGCCAGCTGACTACCGCACTGATGCGACTGACAGCAGAGAGCACTCTAAAATTATCGCTCTCTGCTGAATGGCTAGAGAGAGCGGGCGGGCAGCAGCGCGAGCGGCGCGACTATAGTCCTTCTACGCGGCTGGGGGCACGTTCTTCGCTGCGAAATTCACATTGCAGGGTGAAAAACGGTCGAGGAAATCTCCGGTGGCTCTGTATTGTGTGAGAAAAGCGTCAAGAGTGAATGTACGCGCGGAGAGCACAGACGGCTCGCGTGTGGCGAGAGTGAATGTCCGCACGGAGAGCGTAACTGAACAAGCGGAAATCCTCGACGAATCCCCGCCCGCTTTCCACCCAACATACTGGAGGGAATGGTTGCAATCCCCTCTAGTGCTTTTTCACCAATGACGTCCAACAACGTCATCAAATCATTCCGCCTACCAGCCACCGGTTCACTGACTTCAAGCAATAACATCTGCTTGCTATGGGGCGTTTAGATGTGGGACCTAAACGGTGACATAAATAAACAATTATGTACAAGTAAGCTTTTTTTCCTTTTTTACAGTGTGTTATTTCTTCTCAGAATACCACAGACGAATCGGAATATGTGGAAGTAGGGAACGATGCTGAGTTGAAGTGGGCTTCGTACTTGCTCGATGTTGACATGCACAGCTTCGCCCCATGCTTCACGCATAAGATCACTGTACGTTTTGCTGCAGTCACTAAAAAGTTTTAATTCTTGCATCATTAGCATTTTGATTTTACATTTCTCTCAACTGCGATTTATACTTCTATGTACTTTTCAAAAATTATTTATATTTCAATAAGATGGCACCGTAATATCAACAGTTATCAAAACTGAAAAATCAATTCTCAAACCCTAATCATTTATCAAAATTAAGTTATTGAAAACAACTCCATTGCAGAAAACGGATGAGGGTGCGAGCAAACTGGCCTACAGTATGGGACAAGCACTAGATGCACGTGATGCGCTAGCCATGTCACTCTACGAGCTAGTATTCAGCTGGATTCTGAATCGGATTTCACTGCATCTGAAATGTCCTGATCATAACGCTGTCATTACGGTGGTTGACTGTTACGGTGTTGAAGTAAGTCTTCCTATCATCATTTCGTTGTGTATTTATCTCCCATTGAACACCGTGGAAATTGGCGACTTAAGCCGTTTGGACACGGCGAGCACCCGAAGGAAGCGTGAATTATGATGTTCCTGCTGTAGTCACGTACAATGCGCGACGCATTGACGCGCTGAAGTGTGCTCGCCTCCCACTATTCGTTTTCTCTGCGCTCGCCTCATTGTGAGTATAACCTATAGGATTTTTACCAGGGTGAATAACGGTCGAGGAATTCCTCGACCATCGCTCTCTGCTGTGCGAGAGTAGTGCCGAGAGTGAATGTACGCGCGGAGAGCACAGACGGCTCGCGGGTGGCGAGAGTGAATGTCCGCGCGCGAGAACGTAAAGGATCAGGCGAAAATCCTCGACGTGCCGTTGAGGAATCCTCAAGCAATATTCACCCTGATTGTCACTGTAGAAATTGCGTCGCTGCGACGCGCAATGCACGTGACTGCGGCAGGAACATCGTAATTCACGCTTCCTTCGGGTGCTCACCGTGTCTGAACGACTTGCGCCGAGATTGGCCGCGTGCTGCGCCAGTAATGCCGCGACGAAAGAATTCCCGCGCAAAATGGTCGCGCGAGAGCACGCGCTGCAAGCGTGCAGCGGTTCGGAACAGCGCACACTTTTCTATTCGGAAGTATATTGATGACCATTTTCAGCGATATAACAACAATGGATTGGAACAACTACTTATCAATAGCGTGAATGAAAAGCTTCAAAATGCTTTTGTAAAACAGACTTTCTTCGACGAAATCGCCGATTATGTCAGTGAAGGACTCATATTCGATTGGAAGGTAACAGTTTTTTTTTACATAACTTCCTCTATTCCTTCCAGATTTTTCGTAAGGGCACTTTGAAATAGCTGTGGTGTGGAGGAATAAGGCAATATCTTGATATGATGAAAAAGCGTGAGGAGCTCAACTAGCCCTACAGAAGTGGTACCATTGAAAGCGTAAGCCCCAGGTTGACTCTGGTTGGACTCTCCTGGTTATCTGATGATGCGTAATAGAATTTACCTGATGATGCGTAACAGAATCGTGGTCCGATGCTTTTAGAAGGCGCAAGGGGAAGGAGCTAAGAGCAAGGAAGTTGGGGAAGTGTCAAAATCTTCTACAACCAGCAATGCAATGACGAGGCAGTAGCAGTAGTGAGAATAATGGCTGTGATGATCAACATGAAGGAAATACGCTGGGCAGTGTCCATCTCATCGTAAGCCGGTTGCCCCGAAGTGAGGTAGATTACACTCTATTTCATGCAGCCAGAAATCCACGTGGCACACGTGGCTAAATTCTCGATGAAAAGGTGACATCACGTGTGCTCAAAGATGTTCTTGAATCGATGCCACGTTAATGCCACGTCAATTTCTGCAATTGCACAATTTCTGGTCATTTGAAGGCGAGGGTAGTTCTATCTGAGCATTGTCGATGCCGTCGACTCCATGACGGAAAATGATCACCTCACCACGCAGGTGTTCTGAATGGCCACGTCACTTGCAACAGAAGGGGCTGAGAAAGGGACGGAGGTGGAAGGATGGGACGGAGATTGCCGAGGGGGAGGGTTCTGGACTTGGTTCCTAACCACAGCCGGTTCCTAACCACAGCCTGACGCGCTGCATCGCATCTTCGCGGGAGGACGAGGATCGACGGGATAACCACACTCGTGTTAAGCCAAACTGGTAATACAATCGTAATATATGGGTAAGTTCTGAGGAACTCTTCGAATGTCCGATAAACCGAGGTACTATTCGAATTTTAGGGTGTCATATAAATTTTGTTGTTCAGATGCCATCAACACTCGACAATGACAAAGCCGTTGATCTGCTCTGTAAGAAACCATACGGCTTACTCTATCTTATCGATGATGAGTGTAAATTCCCCAAGGTCAGTGTTACATGCAACTATTACTTTGTCGCTACCTAAAAAATTCAACAAATCCCATATTGTCTACACTTCAGGCCTCCGACGAGTCATATCTTCGGCACTGTAACTTGAACCATCTTGACAAAAACGTGTATGGAAAGGTGCTCCTTTTTTAATCTTTTTAACCAGCAGCTAAGAGACTTGTTGGAATCGTCCATCATAAGTTACTCGTTAAAATAAAATCATCGGAGTGATTCTAGGCAAAGAACAAAGACCGTCTACAGATGTCTGTACGACACTTTTTTGGCACCACATGGTACAGTGTTTACGGATTTGTTCAGCGGAACAAGCGCTGTTTACCCGGCCAAGTGGTCAAAATTTTGGCTGAAAGTCAAAATCCGGTATATCCTTAATCCTATTTCGTTTCCCGGGATTTTCTCTACTTTATAACTCAAACGCTTATAGGTGATCTCTATGCTATTCCGTCCCATATCTAATGGAAAGGAATGT